TCATAATGGGCACTTTGTAAAAACATTTGACTAAGTTTTACTTAGTCTTTTTTAAGAAGTTTTCTTGGTACTTCAATATGTTCTATTCTTGCCTTTTTCTTATCTATTTAGGACTTATAGAATAGTTTAGCAATTTTATCCTTTGAAATTGCTTTATGATTCTTCTCATGAGTTATTAACATGAAGTTTATAAAAGAGGTCCCTTTTATATATATATATCGACACTTAATGAAGAAGACGTCTCAACTTCATAATGGTGTTACAATACGATGAAAGAAATAGGAATACACATGTTTTGTATGCTACAACTTTGACAAGTTTTTATTCATGAACTTGAACAAACTTTTGAGTATTACATGTATTAAAGTACATCTATAACTTTCTCGCAACTGTTTTCCTTGTAACAGATTTATATAAAAGAAGAACAATAAATACGAGGTTTTTCTTTATAACCCGTTTTAGTACATAGTCTTGACCCCATCTTCATGTATGAGAGGTGACTCTATTGTTCTCATGGTAAAGAATACTATGATGTATACTTATGCTTGGATTCCATAACCTCTGCTTGACACTTGTCTCTTGATTTACGCATCTATTTTTCGCACGTATCTGTTCTGTGTCTATTATACAGTCCCCCAAGTGTTTGAGCGGTGAAGTATGAAGCCTCGAGCACTTGTTTTTCCTCTTAATTTGGTCCTTTTCCTGAAACAGAAAAATTTGCGGGACTCGGAGGTGTGATTAGAGATGAAGACTGCCTAACCCGTGTATTTCCATCAGATTAATTGTAACCCTGGGCTGGGAATTTAAGAATATTCCATTTTGCCGTACAGGTCGTGACTCATCATTTGGCACGAGTTAGGGTTTTTGCCTAGCATCTAAAATCGTTAGTAAAATTATTAATGATTAAAAAATGAATCTTAACATAGAGATACCTGACCGTGGATACTTTTTTTTATCAAAAGTAGTATCTTTTTAGATGGACTGCATTCCAATGTGAAGGAAGCACCTTCCCGTCCATTGTTTCCAACTCGTATGCTCCTATCTCGAACTCTGTAAGGTCCTTCCCATGTTGGACTCAGCTTTCCTGAATTAGCAGCCTTTGTAGACTGGAACACCTTTTTAAGCACGAAGTCCCCAATTTTAAAGAATCTGAGTCGTGCTTTCCTGTTATAATATCGTTCAATTACTTGCTTTTGTGCTGCCATTCTTATTAGTGCCGCTTCTCTTCTTCCCTCTAACAAATCAAGATTCACCCGCATCTCCTCATCATTTGATTCTTCCGTTGTTTGAACGTACCGTGTGCTTGGTTCTCCTATTTCTACTGGAATCAAAGCCTCCGCGCCATAAACCATTGAAAATGGTGTTTCTCCCGTGCTTGTTTTTGTCGTTGTAGGATAAGCCCATAATACTCCGGGTAATACCTCAGGCAAATTACCTTTTGAATCTTGTAACTTTTCTTCAAGTTGTTGATAATGACCTTGTTTGTGGATTCCATTTGTCCATTCCCCACTGGATGATATGGTGTGGATGTTATCCTTTTAATTTGCCAACTTTGAAAAAATTCTGTGATTTGGGCTCCTATGAACTGTGGTCCATTATCACACACGATTTCCTTTGGTACCCCAAAACGGCATATTATGTTTCTCCAAATGAAGTCTTTAACTTCTTTTTCCCGCACCTGTTTAAATGCCCCTGCTTCTACCCATTTAGTGAAGTAATCTGTTAGCACAAGTAGAAACTTTACCTGACCTTTTGCTTGGGCAAGGGACCTACGATATCCATTCCCCATTTCATAAAGGGCCACGGAGCTATGACAGGGTGGAGTAACTCAGCTAGTCTATGCATATTGTTGCCGTATCTTTGACATTTATCACATTTAGACACGAAATCGTTCGCTTCTTCTTCACTACAGCAAAAAGTGGATGTAGCGGCAATAAAAAAGGAAATTAGCGGCAATAACAATAGCCGCTATATCATTTACCGGCCATTTATCTTTAGCCGCTGAAGCCAGGGTCGCTAAAGCCTTTAGCGGCATTTATCACAAAAGCTGGTAAAAGGTATGACTTATTGCCGCTAAATATAATTTGCTTTAACGGCAATTGTTTGCGACAATTATGATGACCGCTAAATCCAAGCTAAAACAGCTACTAACTCTTTTTTAGTGTCCATTTTTATAGCCACTAAATTCAAAAAAAATTGTCGCTAAAAGTACCTTTAGTGGTAAATATTTTGTGGCAATTAGAATGGCTATAATATCCCTTCTGAAAATGTGTTAATATGCCCTTTTAGCATCCATTTTAATGGCTAGTAAATTCAATTAAATTGCCGCTAAAAGTCATCTTTAGCAGCAATTATAATGGCTATAATATCCCCTGTGGAGACATCACAATTTGCCCTTTTATCGTCCATTTTTATAATCGATATGTCATGTTAAATTAGCGCTAAAAGTCACAAGTAACGGCAATAGTTTAGCCACCATTAATAATAGCTAATACATTCATTCAAAAAAAGTTTCAAATAACAAAACATACTAATATTAAGTCATAAAACATAATGTATCTCATTAAATTTTAACAAACAAAAGAAAGTACTAATCCAAAATATTAATATCACAGTAACTTAAAAAAAGCATATATTGTTTGAAGTAAATAGCTAATGTCATTATATGACTAATTCCAACGAATAATAATCTTCAAGTAATATTTGCAGCTCTTCATCATATTGAAATCTTTGACCCGCTAAATTATCGATCATCAGACTGTATGACCTGAAATTATAAAATAACTATATCAATAAATGAAATATATGAGCACCGTAGATGTACGCATAAGCAAGCAAATGTTCTTCTACTAGCAATCACTAAATATAAGAGGAATGCAAGACAGAGTTTATCACACCAATGTAGAAAGCAAAAAATATGAAATTTATGCGAGACTTGGCAATCAATATGACAAATATAAGATATACAAAGCTAGCTTAGCTCCTAGATAAATTGCGTATTGAAAAGGAATCTATTACTTCATGTTAAAGCCGCATTAGAAGGGACTTGATTCTGAACAAGACTCAATAGCTTTTAACGATAGTAGTATAGAACTATGTATTTTTCTTCCCAGAACCACCTTAGTGCTGTTTTGGCATCAACAAAATATTACTTATGCTAGAAAGCTGTCTCTTGGTGAGAGCTTAAATTCTGAATGTACTCCAGCTAAGAAGTTGCTGAATGGTTTAGGGTGGGCAACACCTCAATCACAAGGACAAAGAGGCTCCAAATTATTTTCTGACTCATAGATACTAATCCCTAGGATTTTCCTGAACTTATGTTATCAATTGCAGGATGGCTATCCATCCAATATGTGAAAGGGTACTTTACGTATAAAACTTGTTTCCCCGTGATACTGTAGACAAAGCAAGCCCTTAAAAATAGCAAATCATCAATAAATAAAGGAGATGCAAAAGTTGCCAACACCTATTCTACCAGTGGAGTATATCACAGAAGTGCATCGATAGATTAGATTTCCTTCTTAAAATAGACCGAGAGATCACATGACGATATAACTCAGGAAAAGCTTGACTCGTGCAAGTCTTTACTGATCGACTCAATAATGGATTTCTACCTCTATCATTGTACTGAATGAACATTACTAAGAGAAGACACTAATTTATGCGTGAGAGGATACACTAATTTATTGTTGTCCAAGAGTGGCAATCACAGTTTGACAAATTGGTTACCCACCAAAAATAGTATTTTCATTAACAACAACATCAGCAGCAGAATGTGGTGACAAAGAAAATGCTACTCTTAGACATATCTTATCACACTCTTCATTAAAAACGAAAAGCTAAAACGAGAGTTATCTGCATTTGAACATTCGGATGTATATGAACGTAGAAGATAAAGTAGCTTTGGTTCCAAAGAGACCTACTGAAAGTGGGAAGTAGAAGAAGCATATTTTTTAAGTAAGGAAGGTCCATTTTTTTCTATTTAAGAAATTATCTCAGTTAACAAACCTTTTCCTCAGGAAATATCTTTCTAGCAGAAATCTTTCCCTTTAATTGGAAAGAGATGTAAGATGTTTGAAAGACATGTAATAATATTTAACAAATGAATAGATTAAATCTTTAAAGGAAGAAAGAAAACGTTCGGGCGAAGATATACTAAGATCATAAAAGAAGATTTTTAATGATCTACAGTAAAAAACAAAAACAATAGCGAGCTAAAGGATAAAGATGAGTAGTACCGTGAGAAAGTGAAGTATTTTCAGCAATACTAGGTATCCTTGATGTTTGTGTTACTTGTTCATGGCCGCTGTTGGCGTCGGGGACCTGATAAATATTAACACATTAGATAACAATACTTTTATATGATTAAAATTTTATTAAGAATGTCTAAAACCTATGAAATCGAGTTACATGTTCACCTGAGGTGCCATTGATACTTTGAGGCATAGATTCATTAGAAACATATTTGTGCAGTAGTTGTCTCATTTGGAGTAACTCTGATTGCATCTTCTCTTGATTTTGTTAAAAATATCATTTAAACAATTAAAACTATCAAACAGTTAAACTATCTCTAATTTCTTCTATAGTTTTCACATATTGGTTCATTAACTTTTTTAGTAGAGTCATATACCAAGTTTCCACTACTTTACAATCTCTTGTTAAATTAAGGAAACCTAGCATGAAATATATCCCCCACAGATGGCACAACTTAATTCAAAAATTGGAGATGTACACTCCAGCTTTGAAGGTGACTAAGGTGACATGGGAGTTTCCTAGCCCAGGGTGGATCAAAGTAAATACAAATGGAACATCTCGAGGAAACCCAGGAAGAAGTTCCATAGGTTTTGTGTTGAGGGATGAAGAAGGAGATGTACATTATGCAAGAGGGAAGGAAATACATGAGACAACAAACAATGAGGCAGAGGCATTGGCTATCTTGGAAGCCTTGATATTCTGTGTTGAACACCAATATGTCCAAGTGATGCTACAAACTGACTCGTTACTGTTGAAGAATGTACTGGAAGGACTATGGATTGCTCCTTGGAATATTGCTAATCATGTGGAGGAGATTAAGAAAGTAATGCAGAGGTGTACTATTAATATATCACATATATTGAGAGAAGGTACTACCCTACACCCCCAGTCCCTAAACTAAGCATGAGCTCCTCTAATGTGAAGGTACAAATAAGGAATAATTATTCCTGGACATACATGCGAAGGCTGCCTAGATTTTGGTACGTGACATGTTCATATTTATGGCATCTAAAAATGGGAACAATGAAGGTATTGGGAAGTCATTACCCAGTGCACTTTGTTCATACTACATCCCAAGAATGATGCCACATAAAGTTTATATCAAGATACTACTGGGTAACACTCGATCTTCATGGCAAACAGGACGTGATCACCTATTCGACTACGATTGCGGACATTTTGGACACAGCAGGAGAGAAATTCGAGCTTCATCTGCAATTAGGGACATCATACCTTCATGTATCTGCTGAGACATCAAGATTACAAGCAGAAAATGTATAAAAACTGGAGGCCAAGTACTACACCTACAACAAATGCTATGCTAATAACTGCTTGTGCCTACATGATACCTGCTCTGCTTCTATGCCTTTTCCTTCACTATATGCAGCAGGGTGGACACATTATGGGACAGATCATGATCTACATTATGCACGGAAGACAGAGTTACTGGGCAATGAGTTAATGCTATCATGGCATGCTTAGTGCTAGTTTTTATTCAAGAACCTTACTACATTATTATATTTCTTTATCATTGGTTAATTAGTTCAGAATGTACTATCAGGATTGAGTATTCCTTGCTCAGTTCTGGTAATAGGGGCTATGTAATTACCTTAGCATGTCTTTACATCTTGTAAGACACTACACTACTTTTGCTTGTTTTGCTTTAGAACAAACAGATTCTTACAAAGAATCATGTCCACTGACCAAAATAATTTAGATGAGTAGGAAGGGCAAGGTTCAAGAAAGATTAAAAAAGCATCTACAACATTTATGCTCCTAAATGTCTCCGGAACACGAGTTCCTCTTCTTCTGCTAGTCTTGCTGTCAGTGGACATGAATCTTCTAAACTCAAGGTGATTATTCTACCCCGAAGTTTCAGAATGATCTTGGATCACATGAGTGCATTTTAGCTGGTATGCATAAAATACTTGATAGTCTTTGAGCCTTGAGCAGGCCATTCCTTATGCCTAAAGACATAACAATATTGTGTATTGCAATTAGTGTTCTTGTCTGAACATATCTCTTCACGGTATATTCCTTTTTTTCTCAAAAGACTGTTACAAGCTTATTCATTTTATAGCTCGAAATCAACATGCAATCTTCACGAATCAAATAGAAACTTGGCAAACATGACCTGAAACTATGCTTGATTTTGACGATGTACTTAGTTGCAGGCACTTAATTATGGATTCAGGAGGATGAAACGAATTCCGGGGGGTTATGACCCCTGCTATACTGTGTTTACTGAAGACTATTTCAACCGGTTAGATGTTCAAATTGCCCTCCACGTAAACATTGAAGGACGTCATACTGGAGTAAAATGGAAAAGTTGCAAGTGAGTTCAATTTTCAGCTCAATTTTGCTTCACATTCCGGAATAATGTCATGGTTATTTTTGCCCGAACTTCCTGCAGTATTTATTTATTATTTACTAACTTGGTTTCTGTTACGTACTTTACTAGTGATCCAATGTTCCAGAAGTACAACTATAATGTGTTATCTGTCCTGCCAATATACAAAAAGCTTATCCAAGGGGGCCTGAAGATTTGGATTTTTAGGTATTTGAATTTTTCTTATCTCTGTCTTTATTTTGATATTAGCTTGTTTTTGTTCTTGTTATAGTTGCACGTATCCTAGTATGAAATCGTCGTAAATATTTTAAGAGGGGTCAAGTCCAGTATTTTTTCGTGATTACTCATACCCCTTGGGCAGAATCTTATTCGCTTAGTTCCGCCTTGCATTAGCCTTAGAAAAAATACAGAGGAACCAATTCAAAGACATGAAAACAGAAATTGTAAACACAAAAAGGCAGCAGATATCACAAACAACTATCAATCAGAGTAAACAACAAAAACGCAGCAGACAAACAAACAAAAATAGAGTAACAGAGGAGAATCAATTCAATCAATCGACTATCAATCTAACAGCAGGCAGATATCACAAACAACTTAGCAGACACAAAAAAAAGCTATACTTTCACAAATCTCAAAACGCCATAGTTTGATATCAAAAATTAGAAATTGTTACCTGGTAAGCAGAAATTTTTTGCCGATAGACAAGAAATTGAAGGAGAAGAATGATTTCTGCAACAATATTGAAACCTACACGAGTAGAGAAGTTGGAAACGGATGAGAAAGAGAAGATTGACAGCGACGATTGAGCATATTCGAGCGGCATCAACCCAAAATCAATTGTAAATCGATTTCAAGAAACCTGCTGGGTAAGAACAGAAGTTACCTGGGGATGGTCGGAGACCGTGGTAGGGTGAACTGGCGGAGATTGTTGCAGCGTTAGTGTTAAGCCCGTAGGTTTTGCTACGGCGTGCCTCACCTTCAAATTGGCGACCGGCGTGCGTCTTTAATTTTGAAGAGAATATGTTTTCCTATTATTTTCTAGTCGGAGGGAATGTAATTTCTTGTCCAAAAAAATTGGAGGGAAATATTTTTTTTTGTATGGAGCGAAAGTTAAAATAATAAAAAAATTAATTTCAATTAGTGCTTTTTAGCGGTAATTTTTTAATTGTCGGTAAAAGGATATCTTTTACTGGCTATTGATCATGTGCCGCTAATATTTCAGCTTAAATAATTTATTAGCGACAATTACCTTATTGCCGCTAAATAATTGCCGCCAAAGACCTTTTTGTAGTAGTGCTTCCATCTTGGGCCAATAATACTCTGCTCGAATCAATGTTTTTACTAGCGACCTTCCACCAGCGTGACTTCCGCAATGTCCTTCATGTATTTCCCTCATCACGTACTCTGTTTGAGAAGGTCCAAGACACCTTGCTAATGGTCCGCCGAACATCTTTCGATAAAGATTCCCTTGATGCAAACAATAACGAGCAGCTTTCTTGCGAAGTGCATGAGCTTTTGTTTTGTCAATAGGCACGGTTCCATGCTGTAAAAAAGCAACAATTTTATTTCTCCAATCCCATGTTAAATGATTAAAATTTACCTCATTCTTATAAGGTTCGAGGACGGAATGAAATAGATGTACGACTGAAGCATTTGCATCATTTGCTACGTCTGCTGCGGACGCGAGATTAGATAAAGCATCTACTTCTGCATTCTCGTCTCTTGGGATCTGCATTACCTTCCACGTTTGGAATTGTTTTATTAGCTCCCGTACCTTTTCAAGATACTCTTGCATTCGAGCTTCCCTGGCCGTATAAGTCCCCTGTATTTGATTAACCACAAGTTGAGAATCGCTCTTGATTATAATTTGTGATATGCCAAGTTCCCGTGCCAGTTCTAAACCTGCAATGACAGCTTCATACTCTGCTTCATTGTTAGTTATCGAATGACACTTTATAGCTTGTCTAATAGTTTCACCCGTGGGTGGTACGAGAACTATTCCTAAACCTGCGCCTTTTACATTAGATGAACCGTCAGTGAATAAAGTCCAAGTCCCCGGGTTTGCACCATTAAAAACTTGTAATTCTTTTTCAGCTTCTAACTGCATCCCCTGACTGAAATCAGCTACGAAATCAGCTAATACCTGAGATTTTATAGCAGTCCTAGGTTGATAAGTGATGTCGTACTCACTTAATTCTATAGCCCATTTCGCTAATCTACCTGATAATTCATGTTTATGCAAAATGCTTCGTAATGGAAAAGCAGTAACCACAGCAATGGGATGACATTGAAAGTAAGGTCTTAATTTTCTAGATGCCATAATCAAAGTGAGCGCTAATTTTTCTAGTTGCGGGTACCGTGTTTCTGCATCTAGCAAAGACTTGCTTACATAATAGATAGGAGATTGCTTACCTTGATCCTCCCGGACTAAAACAGCACTTACCGCAACTTCTGACACGGCAAGATAGATGAGTAACTTCTCTCGTACCTTTGGTTTCGCCAACAACGGTGGATTTGACAAATATACTTTTAGATTCTTGAGTGCTTGCTGACAATCTTCGTTCCATTCAAAATGATCCTGTTTCTTTAAAGCTGAGAAAAATTTGAAACATTTTTCTGAAGACTTGGAAATGAATCTCCCCAGAGCTGCAATTCTCCCAGTTAACCTTTGAACTTCTTTTTTACTAGTAAGTACATCTGGAATTTCTTCAATAGCTTTAATCTGTGCAGGGTTCACTTCAATTCCACGGTTAGAAACAAGAAAACCTAAAAATTTTCCTGATGCCACTCCAAATGCACATTTTTCTGGATTCAACTTCATATTATATTTTCGCAAAATTTTAAACGTATCAGATAAATGCGATATGTGATCTTCTGAATGTTGAGTTTTAACTAACATATCATCTATGTATACTTCCATGGTTTTACCTAAATGTTCTTGAAACATTTGGGTGACCAACCTTTGATACGTTGCACCTGCATTCTTAAGACCGAAAGGCATTACCTTATAACAATAAGTCCCCCTGTCTGTTATAAAAGAAGTTTTTTCTTCATCACCTGGATCCATCTTGATTTGATTATAGCCTGAATATGCATCTAAAAAACTTAAAAGTTCATGCCCTGCAGTAGCATCAATTAACTGATCTATATGGGGCAAAGGAAAAGAATCTTTTGGACAGGCTTTATTAAGGTCTGTGTAATCTACACAGACTCGCCACTTACCGTTCTTTTTAGGAACCATAACAGTATTAGCTAACCAGTTAGGATACTTTACCTCACGAATTGAACCAATTTTTAGCAACTTTTGAACTTCTTCTTGAATCACCTTATTTTTGAAAGTTCCTTGCTTTCTTTTCTTTTGCTTGACGGGAGGATATAATGGATCTTCATTTAGTTTATGAGTCATCACCTCCGGTGGAATACCTGTCATGTCTACATGGGACCAAGCAAAACAGTCTGCATTAGCTTTTAAAAATTCAATTAACTTACGCTTTACCTCCGGGCTAAGATTAGCTCCAATGTACACTTTCCTCTTGGGCCAATGTATAAATAACACCACGGCTTCTAGCTCTTCTATCGTTGTTTTGATGTTATCATTCTCCTCTGGTTCTTGAATGGTATTAGGTCTTGAATCCAAATCTGTTTGCTCCTGCTCAGGTGAGGTTGTTTCCATGTTACCCTCACCTAAATTCTGTAATTGCTATTTGGCTCCACTATTAACAATTGAATATGCGACGGAATTGATGCTCCTAGATGTTTGTTGATCACCTTTGATTTGGCATATCCCCCATGGAGATGGGAATTTAATAACTTGATGTAGAGTTGACGGGACAGCATCCATATCATGGATCCAAGGTCTCCCCATAATCATATTATAAGCCATTTCCATATCTACTATCTGAAATTTAGTTTCTTTAACAACACCTGCAGCAAAAGTTGTTAGAACTACCTCTCCTTTTGTTACTACACTTGAATTGTCGAATTCGGACAAGGTATGCGCCTTTGGTATCATTTTGTCTTCAGCTTGCATTTCACGTAACACCCTTAGTAGTATAATATTTACGGAACTTCCTGGATCAATCAAAACTCGCTTTACATTAGTGTCATGTACAAGTAAAGATATTACCAGTGCATCGTTGTGGGGGGTGATTACTCCTTCTGTATCTGCATCATCAAAAGTGATACTTTCATCTTCTAAGGTCTGTCGCACTTGCTTCCCGTGCGTGATTGTTACTTTGGAAACTTTATTTGAAGCCGTATATGTTACTCCATAAATATCCTCTCCCCCACTTATAACATTCACGGTTCTTTTGGGTGATGGGGGCTTTGGTGGTTCTTGCCTATTTTTCATGTAGGCTTGCTTACCTTTCTCACTAAATAACTCAGTGAGATACCCTTGCTTCAATAGATGGTCCACTTCACTTTGCAAGAATCTACATTCTGAAGTCTTATGCCCGTGATCATTGTGAAATTCGCACCAATGATCTGGATTGCACTTATTTGGGTTTGACCGCATCTCTTTAGGCCACCGTACCTTATCTCCCATGCTCCTCAAAACAGCTACGAGCTCGGAGTTAGTGACATTGAAATTATATCCACCAAATCTCGCCTTCAAACTGCCATCATCATCTCGTGCCCCGCGTGTGTTTCGATCATTCCCAAACCTTGATGAGGAGCCTGATTCCCTGTTCCTAGGTCTGTGATCGTACCTTTGATTATCTTGTCTTGACCGTGAGTCCTTTCCCGCAGGTCCCATGTATGGCTCGTACCTGTTTTTACCGGATCTCTTTTCATTTTCAACACGCCTTGAGCTTACCTTTTCTTCTGTTTTATGTCGTAAAATAATGTCTACTTCAATCCTCATCCTTGTGTTGTATCTGTTGTAGACATCATTCCACGTTGTTGCTGGGAATTCTCGAAAGCTTTCTTTGAGTCGCCTCGTGGCTTCTGAACTCTTATCATTCAAATTACTAGCAAAGGCTATGGCTGCCCAATTGTCAGGTACTCGTGGCAGCGTCATTCTTTCCCGTTGAAATCTATCTACAAACTCTCTAAGCAGCTCTGAGTCTCCTTGTTTGATTTTGAAGATATCTTCCATCCGTTTTTCAACTTTTTGAGCTCCCGAGTGTGCTTTGATAAATAAATCTGCAAGCTCAGCAAACGAATTTATAGAATTTTCAGGTAAAAGAGAATACCATGTTAGGGCTCCTTTAGTGAGTGTTTCACCGAATTTTTTGACCAAGACCGACTCAATTTCTTGCTTAGTCAAATCATTGCCCTTGACACCTGTTGTGAATGCAGTAACGTGATCTCGTGGGTCTGATGTACCATCATACTTTGGAATATCAGGCATCTTAAACTTCTTTGGAATTGGAAGGGGAGCAGCACTTGGCTTCCATGGTTGTTGGGAATATTTATCTATATCCACACCCTTGATCACGGGCGGTACTCCAGGTATTTGCTCTATGCGTTCATTTTGCTCCTTGAGTTGTTTCTGCAAGGTTAGCACTAGACTTTGTAAATCAGAATTAATTGGATTACCTGGGTCTCTCTCTTGTGTTTCACTAGGGGTTCCACCGCTGCCAGAATTAATCAATCCTGAACGAGGATTCTCCAAAGTGTTGTTGTTTGGAGCAGATGCGGGTGGGATAACAAGCAATTGGCGAACAAAAGCTTGGAGAGCGTTATTGACTTGAGAGGCAATAAGTTTTTGCAGAGCCTCATTCATGGTTTCAGCGTTTTCAAATTGAGCCTGTCCATCTGTGTAAGATCCATCAGGAGTGCCTTCGCGAGATCGTCGTGGGGAGCCTCGTGGAGAATCTTGAGGAGAGCCTTGTGGGGAATCTCCCTGAAGTTGTTGGACTGTCTGAATTTCTGGGTTTCCTTGAATGTTGTCATTGTTGTTCGACATGATTGATGCAATTTGATTATCAGATTCCTGGTAACGGAACCAATTTGTTTAACCAAAAAATAGAATTTCGGTTAAAACTAGAAATTAAGAGAAAAAATCGGGTTACTGATAATCAGGAGACGAAAAGAAT